GGGATCCTGAAGTTAATATATTGAAAATGTAGCCCTAAACAGAGCCAACCGTTGCGTATTACAGAAACATATAATCACCAGAGTCATCCTCCAAGTCATCTACATCCTCCTCATCGCTCAGGTCTGAAAGGTCCTCTAGGCCTTCATCAACCTCATCAGAGTCACCCTGTTCATCTGCAAAGAAAATTAGAAAATATCTTCAGAATCATTTATTCATTCATTCAGTACAATTTCCAATCCAAATGGACTTCACGACGCTAAAAAAGTCAAATGAACAGGCTGATTAAATTAGCATTTTAAGTTAAAATCAAATCAAAGCAGACCGTTCCTGATTGTTTGGTGCATGTCACTTAAAAAGAAATATTCATAACTTCAATAGTAGTAGTGATGCACTGGAACTTTGTAGACTGAAAATATTCAAAAAAAAATAAAATATTATATATATATATATATATATATATATATATAAATATTGTTAAACATAGAATGTTAAACATTTTGCTATTTTTTACATTTGTTATTTGATTAATTCATAAAATAAATATTATTTTCAGTTTTGGTTCACGGTTACATTTAAACTAACTTCCGTTTCTGTGTTTCTATAAAAAACTGAACAAAAAAATAATGATAATAATTTGGTGCATCATTAATAAAGTATAATGACTTGGTCTGGCTCTAAAATCTTTTTTTTTTTTTGACTGACTCCAGAAATCCCTTTCACTTTTTGCTCTGCTAGTGAATACTAAATGTTGTAATATAACAATATTTAACATTTTCAAGAAACTTCTGCGCATGTGGATTCCCATTAAACACTCAACGGAGCTTGTATAATTTTAGTGTGAGACAAGACTACACCACTGACCTACCCATGCTGCTCACACACAAGTTAACATTTACATGACAATAATAAAGGCTAGCTTAGTTCCGACGGCAATTTAGCCTAGCTAATCCAGAGGTGTGTGTGGGAGTGTCTCGTGCTCTCTGAAGACGCAAGGTTGAAATCCCTGAGCTTTGAAGTGGGATTTGATACGATGCTGCCTGGGAGGTGAATGGCAGCATAGACACCCTCCACCCTAATTACCCAGAACACACTGGAGCCAGCCAGGAGGGAGTCGAGCTCAACACCATGCGCATACCTCGCTGCTGAGAGCGGGCTCACTCATCTTAATATAACCGGTGGACGGCTGACCGTTGAGTTCAGAGAGGGTGCAGAAAGTCCACCAGGAGCACAAGGCAAACACTTTAAAGACTGCCTGTGGGGCTGATCAATACAGTGATGATGTAGGAGGGCGAAACAAATCAAAGACACGATCTACATGTTGCTCTCTCAGCACCGAAAACAGCCTCGACACAGGAACACTGAAGATCAGAGTGTTTACAAAATGAGCAAACGCACATTAAGATGGAAGAACCTCGAGCCAAGTCTTTGAGAGGAGTCGACAGCATTAAATGGCCTGGCACACTGCAGCGACATCAAAATGACAAACTAACACAACTTAAGAACATTAACAGGGTGAAAGTAGAGAAACCTGGAAAGTGCTTTTGAAGCATATCAAAACTTCATAGGCAAAAACCAAAAAGTAATATTATAACAATTTAAAAAAAACTGTTACAATTGTAATATATTTAAAAATGTAATTTATTCTTGCGATGGTAAATCTAAATTTTTAGCATCATTAATCTAGCCCTCCCTCAGTGTCACATGATCCTTCAGAAATCAGTCTAATACGCTGATTGGTGAAACATTTCTTGTGTTGAAAAGTTGAACTGCTTAAAATATTTGTGGAAAATAAATAATTGATAAAAAAAGAACAGTTTAAAATAAATGCAATTACTGTCACCTTTGATCATTTTAATGTGAGGACTTTCTTTAAAATATGCATGATTCATAAATCTCTAGAATTGTTTTTATTAAATAAATTAAATAAAATGTGCATGGGGTGGGGTTATAAAACTAACCTGCAGTATATCAAAATCTAATAATAATCTAATAATCACTACTAATGGGGACCCCACCTAAATTATAATGGACATTCTGTTTTCATGTTTTAAAGTAAATATTGTACACATTAAGCAACCTGTCAGTATATTTTTATTTATATTGGTATTATATTATCCATCAGCATCTGATTGATCATGTTAAGGTAACCTGCTTCAAAACAAGTTCCAGCAAAACTAGTCCCGTCAGTCAGTTGTATTAGCCTAGCATCCGGGGTATAGACACGTAAATATTGGTATGCCATACAAATAAAAAAAACGTTACATTATAAATAGTCTCTTCTCCCCTCAACCTCCACTCTTGTCTTTTCCAGCCCTCTTCTACTTCTACAGCCACTTACACCGAAACTCTGCCATGTGACTGCCATAAAACACACTGCAGAAGGGAAAATGTCTTAAAGGGGGGTTGACTGCTTTTTTTCTTTGCATGATTGTGTTTATGGGGTGCAATATAACATGTATTCGTGGTTTTTCTTTTTTTATTAAAGTCTTATTTTTCATAAACTTCACCTTTATTGTCAGCAGCGCTCTCCTCTGTCCGGTCGACTTCCTGAGTCTATGAAACCACTCCCTCAGAAACAGGGAGTGGGCTCAGATTGGTTAGTTTGGGCTGGTGTGTGGTGATTGGCTAAACTGTCGCTCATGTTGTCCGGAAGGTTAACGCCCATTAAATTTACAGGTGTAACGTGCATGTCACGAGCTCCGGTCCAGATGTAAATATGTGTCGAACTGCAGTATCAGTTTGAGGCAGAATCAGACCGAGAAAGCCGCGATGAAGAGAATCAAACAGAACCTCACCACACACTGCTCTTACTAAACGTTTCTGAATGATAATTTGCTACATTTTTTAACTTTATACACAATAGCATTTGACTGGCAACAATAGCAACTGACTGGCTACTAATGTTATACTCAAACAGCGCTGGCAAGTTTACGTTCTTGATCAAATCTAAAATAACGTCATAAAACATAT